AGCAAACCAATATATAATAGTCCTCCAACTTGAATGATTTTGATTTAGAATGTTCATTGCCCAAGTCAAAACCCTCCAACTTGAACAGTTCTGATCTAGAATGTTCATTGCTCAAGCCATAGTCCTCCAACTTGAATGGTTTTGATCCACAATGTTCAACCATGAGAAAGAACTGGACAGTCAGACTGTTGGAGCCTTCATGTAAGCCATGATAGTGGTCTATATCCTACAAACAGTCAAGGAAACACAGCTCCAGATGGTGGCCAAAACCCTAAAAATAGTAGAAACATCATCTGGAATATATGTCCCACATTACAGAAAATCACAAGTTTTTTTTTAGAAACTGGGACCCCAGACACCCCTAGTGGCTGAAGAAATATATCCTTGGTCAACCCCAGCTGCAAAATATATCCTAAGTCCATCCCAGACCAGAAATATATTTCTACAGTGTGACAGTCACAATTCAGGGTCCAGGCATAAGAAATATATTTGGTGTCCATCTCAGTGAAGAAATATATTTTGGGGTGTGTGACACACTAGAAATATATTTGGTGTGACATTGGACGTCAAAATATATTTATGTAAAAGTGGAAATATACAAGCCCCAGAATATATACAATATAGATATACACCCTGACATTTAGTCCCGTAGTATTCATGGAGTTTGCAAGACTAATAGTCAGTTGTTAGTGGGTGACTGAAGTGTGAGCCGAACTGGATGTGTCAGAGTCCATAGCAGATTTCAAGTAGAAGAGATGGTGGCTGAAGGGAGGTCGACGTCAATAGGGACAAATGAAACTACCGCGCGCGCGGTGGTTTCGTTTGCATTTGTTTGATTTCGGTGATCATGCCCTTGAGCTCAAAGATTTAGTTAATAGTTTGCATTTCCAGTATTGTACGTCCCTTCTACAGGACTACTCGACGCAGCACGAGGAAACTACATAATCTGACAAAAAAAGCGTCAAAAACTAACATGTAACTCCCTCCCCAAACACGCTGTCATCTCACATCGCACCGGAGTTAAACATCTTGGAAAGGGGGAGTGTCAAAGTCGTTGATAGGGTATCGAGCTGAACGTTTTGGAAAGGGGGACTGATACGTGAGAGGATAGGTCGACGTTGTTGACGGGGTATGAATGTCGTTGACAGGGTAATGTGGGGGAATGATACGTGAGCAGATGGCTCGACGTCATTGACAGAGTAACGTGTTGGAAAGAGGGAGTGATAAGCGAGCGAACGGCGCCGAATTTGAGACAGAGGGTGCTGGTGAAGCCGTTG